ATGTCCTCATGAATGAGAATAGAGACTTCAGCAAGCCTGGCGATTCTACGCAGTCAGCTTGTCTCGGGATAAGACTATTTCTCGGTTCTTTAGCACCGCTGCTGGACGACGTTTTCTGCATCTCGAACCTCACTCCTCTTCAGGCTTGTACTGTTTTCGTACTTTGTCTGCCGCTGACCGCTCCCCTGTGGATGGAAGTTCAGACTTCAGCGGCAAGCAATCCTTGCGTTGGCTTTACGCCTCGTTTCGGTTTTTCCGCCGCATACCAAAGTCTTCCATGACTGCCAAGGCAGCCCACATTCACATTCTAAGAGTTTTCAGCGCGGAGACAATGCTTTCCAACATGCAGACTTCACAGCTTCAAAACAAACCCAGTCTATGTACATGTCGGAATGGTATCGTGCAAAAGGAATATTCAACAAGTCGGAGAAGGAGACACAGCACATGCAAGATTCGAATGATGCAAAACCAGAAGCACAAAATTACGGAAGACAATGCATACCCCCCTTGTTCAGCCGAGCTTCCGGAATCCTCGCTGCCTTGACTATCTGAATCAGGAGTAAAAGTCTGCTGCCAACTCGCGGAAGGTGACCGAAGGGCAACCACAACTTCCAGCCAAAATGCCGTCGCCATTGAACGCTGCCAGGAAGTCTGCTTCCGTGACTTTCTCGTTCCCGTCACGGCCTTGACTAGTCTGGCTGGCCCAATCCCTGGAAGCGACTTCATCTGAATCTGCCGCTGCGGCTACTTCTGGCAGAGCGACCACCTCGCACGAAGTCGGCCCCCTGCCATTCAACGCCAGACCGTCGGTTCTCTCGACATCGGCGTCAAGTCGCATCCTTGCCTTGCTCAGCTGACTGAGCTGCTCGCGTTGTTCCGGTGCAAGCTGCTTCGACTGCTGCATCCTTACAAAATCCGCTGCTTTTAGCAGCCGACTCTGAAGACTGCCGGGGGCCTTCATTGAAGGCCGAACTTCCCCGCCTACCGATATTGCGCCCATTGTGCAGGCCGGGTGTCAACTTCACTACTTCGGCAGTGTTTCCGACAAGAGCTGGCTCCTCCTCCATGATTATTTGGCCCTGCCGAAATGCTACCTTACTACTGTCGGGGACATCTATGGGTACACAGCACAAGCAGCGACAACTTGCCCAGTGTGACCAATTTCGTCTTAGAAACATTGGCATACAGAGCTCGCTGTTGGTCGTGTTGTGGCCACATGCCCACCCGAACCGGGTCTGCGATCCCATCACCAGAGGCCTCGGTCTCGAAGCCCATGACATCGGCATTGTGCTCACTGCTGTCCAGAGACATCAAGTCATGTTAAGCCCAAGCTGACCTCATCGCGAACCTCGCTGGATAACAGCTGCACAGCCGTTGCCGAGCCATCCACCTTGGAAGCACCGTTCAGCTTGCAGTAACTTGAGTCATTAATTACCCGACCGCAACACACCACACCGACAGCGACAAAACAGCACCTTGACGTCCCAAAGACCGCGTGCATCCGGCAGTACTTCCCAGCGGTTTGTGTGCCTCGACATGTGGCTTCTCATGAATGACTGGGATATTCCCGCGAAGAGGCCGGAACTTGTGATGTCTGTTCAACTTTCCTGGCAACTCACAACGTCGAGGCGCGCTTGGAAAGGCCCCAGCAGCCCAACTTGCCCGTCCAGCTCCGGCTTTCGATGAAGGATCCCGACGCACATCTCAACCTCTCTCGGCTTAGCATGCATGAGGCATCAAACGGCACACTCGATGTACCGGTGCAGTGAGAACCTCGAGAACCAAAGCGTACTGCTGTGCACTGATGCACAGCTTGGGCCTTCTTCTTTCTCAATTTGCTTGCAGTGTCGTCCTGGAATGCTGGAACTTTCGCCGCTTAGTTAAGATGATCGCTTTCCAACTTAACTTCAACACTTTTCGAGCTTGCACTGCCATACCAGGGTTATAAGCCAATAGATAGCAGGGCAGAAGCCCAGCCCCGGCACCGAGCCTCCCGCACATTCAAGGAAGATGGCCGGATGGCCAAGGTCTTTCCTTCCACCGCCTTTCTTTGGAAGTGCAAAGGGAAACTCCTTTGGCAAACTTCCTGAGCATTCGCATGGATCAGGCACGAGCTCGTTGCACTCGTCATGAAACTCCACCACCCCGGCTCAAGCAAAGAAGATGGGTACATACACCTGCTAGCTGCCAACGTTGGCCCGTGCTCGTTACTGATCATGCGCAACACACGATCTCAAATATGGAATGCACCAAAGAGGCATTCGGGGTGTCAACTTTCCGAGGAATGTGCTTCTTCTGTAGCTCTTGCAGGATGCTGCCATCAGAATTGAAGACGCAAACGTTCCTGCCGTTGCAGTCTACGGCCTTACAAGGGCAAGACATCTGATTGATAGGCTGCAAGCGGCAGATGCTGGAAGCATGCTGTGACGAACGGATAAATTCGCAGACAGGCGGCGGAGATTTTTGCCGTTGACTCCAAAAGCTTCAGCTTCCGCAGCTTTCCATCCAGCTCTTCTTTGAAGGTCGGTCCTTTAAATGTTTGATGTCCATGCGCAGCAGAGTGGCTGAGAACACAAAGTGCGATAAAATGTTGACAGGCTTGTTTGGCTCTACCCGTCCTTTTTGGCCGCACAGGGTCTTGAAAGACTCACTCTCGCCGTCGCAGGGCTCCCACCAGTCATCATTCCAGTCCTTGCACTTCGCTTCACACACACACACACACACCAATGCAATGAGTGAATTTAGCACATGCGTCACGGGTCCAGCCTGGTTCAACATGCCCACGTTTTTTGGAAGAGAAAGTGGTTGTGCTTGTTTTGCTCAGAGGCACGACTTAAAGCAACAACATAGTAGCTCTGTTGCAGCCAGTTTTCGATCTGGAACAATTCAGTCGGCGGCAACTCTCCTTCCAGCTCAACTTCCCATCGACCTCGATCCTGGTGATACTCCACCTTGGGCTCTCGGGCCAGGGCCGTCGCTCACAACACTGCACTTGACATGCTCGCGCTGCTCTCGCTCTCCTCTGAGATGCTGGCTAGCTTGACAGTCCGTCCGTTCAGCTTCGGCTTACTTTCGAGGCCACGCAGAACAGGAGCCGCCATGAGACAAAGCGCAATCGCTCGATGGCGCAGGGGGGAAATGCTCGGCTGTCTGTGTTGCGATGGCCGTTGTGCGTTTTTCAGAGAATGGACATTTTGAATGGGAAGAACTATGGACTTGTTTATGGGGAAAGCTGATGCCTGTCATAGTCATATTCTTGGTGCCAAACCCTGTGCCCAAGCCGTCGTGCTCAGATGTGCTGAGGGCATTGCGAATCTCACGGTGCTGGCTCTGTGCCACTGGCCATCCAGCCCATTCATTCATTGAGAAATGAGACCAGCAAAGTTGAGTGCCCTGGCAGAAACTGTGGGCATAGACGGCATAGGCTGTCAATACTCCTGTCCCAGTCGAGCCCTTGCCTTTCGCCCCAGCTCTGTAGCTAGTTCATGTCAGATCGGGCAAAAATAAGTCTCGTGGACAAAGCGTGAAACCCACAGCAACGGAAGCCGATGCCAAAATGACAGTGATCAGCCCCCTGATACCGTGGATGTTCCCTCTAGATCTTGCGATCCTGATGTGGATGTCCGCAGCCTTCGTGCATGCTGCAGCTCATCGCAGCCGATATCGTGGACAACCCAGGCGAGGTTGTTGGTGCATAGTCGGATGAGCTGAGACATTTGCAAGATTGCTCGATGTCGAGGCTTGAAAGTGACAGATCCAATAACAATAACAGTTGCTAGCATCGCAATTATTTCATTCGCACATCTTTAGAAAGAGTGGCTACGAGAGCCTCGTCGTGGGCATGAGGCAGGAGTAGCAGCCCAATGCCAAGCAAATCTCCTGTTGGACTCTCGCAACACGGACAATGCAAGTCTCCTTTTTCCCTCCTACCTACCCAGGGCAAATCTCCTTTAAGAGTTTTGGGTTGCCCAACCAATATCTTATTTTTTCCTACGGTTGCCCAGCCAACATCTACTGTTTTTTTGCAGGGTTGCAGCCAACATCGCCTTTTAGGATTTCGACTTTCACAACTCGGGCAATCTGTCTAGTTTGAGGTTTGGCAACCAACAGCTCCTTCGGGATATTCGCAACTCGGATGCTGCATGCGAGGCTGGTTCGGGTGTGGAGGGAAAGCTCAGGTGCTGCTGGGACGTCCCTCCTTCCTCATCTGACCATCTACTTTTAGGGTTTATGGTTGCCGAGCCAACATTTCTTTTGAGGGTTTAGCGTTGTTTAGCCAACATCTAACGTCTCCTGTAATGTTCTCACAACTCGGAGTTGACTCTAGGATCGCCCACACAACTTTTTTTGTTACAGCGTTTGTTGTTTGGCAACCAACATCTCTTTGAAGTGTTTAGGGTTACCACCGCCAGCACCTCGTTTCAAGGCCTAGAGTTGCCAAGTCAACCTTTCTTGTTGGGGTTTACACTCTCGATACTCGGACTGGTAACCAGCATGTCAGCTCAGGGATGCTGGTGTGCCCAACAAACATATTGTTGTGCTTTGTGGCTGGGCAAGCAACATTTCTTTTTCGCATTTAAGGTTGCCCAGCCAACATTTCATGTTCGACCCTAAGTCAGGCCCTAAGTTCTTTCGGCCATGTGCTTCGCATACTTCTAGGATAGATGCAGGTGTGAGCGCGCCTGCGCATGCTTCGGCAATCGCATCGAATGTGCTGGATGACTCTTGGATGTAATGACATTATTATTCATTTTAGGAAGCCCGACGAGTCTAGACGCACACGCGGAAACAAAAGCAATCAGTGTCGAGGACCTGCACAGCACAGTGTCGACACTTCCATCACGCCAAACGCACAGAAAGAACAGTCGCCCCTTCTTACCGTTCTCGCCGTCTCGATTCGACTGCAATCCTGCGCGAACCTGACTGTTGATGTGCCCAGCTCAGTGAGACATGCTCAGACCTTGTCTGGCGAGGCACTGCAGTGAATTTTAAGAGATGAATTATTGCTCAGCATCACTGTCCAGCTCTGTTTCGTCCTCACTGTCAAGAGCCGTGGCAGGCATCTCGGGATTTTCCGCAGACTTCGAAGTACTGAGGTAATCTCCGGCTCGCTGAGGGCTCGGAAGGCTGGCTGGAGGGCTGTCAGAGATCAGAACAAGCTGATGGTCTCGACGATCATGTGTGTCTGGGGCGGTAGCTGCGGCGGCAGCGCCATTCTTCTTTGCGCTATTGGTAACTTGGAGTTGGAACTGGGAAACTTGCATGTGCTGCTGCCCCTTTCGAAGGGTCCAATGTTGATGACCAGAGCCTGCTCCGTTGCTACTGCCCAAAGTGTTCAAACCAAAATGGTGTGAAATCTTCATCATGAGCGAAAACTGCCTTTCTTGAAGTCTCCTTCCGGCAGCGACAGATTCCGTGATCCAAGATGGCTGGACCACATACTGGGCCACAGCATGGGCTGAGCTGGCGTCCCGCAAGGCCTTCATCTCTTTTGCACCACTGAGCTGGGTACAAACTACATGCGTCACGCTTCGTTTCGCCAGCCTGGGAGTAACCGTCGCGCCGTGCAAACGAGCCACCTTGCTGAGGGCGTATGCAGATATGCCACCTGGAACTGTAGGGGGACAGGGCCAAAAACATGACAGACACACACACGGAAATACATTTGTGTTTCCGCTCAGGTCACGAACAAGAGAAGCACATATTTATGTAAATCTCTTTCCAAGTGCACCTGCCAGCCTCCAATATCGACGCGACCATCGAAGTAAATGCAGCAGTGCTTGAAAATTTGAGAACAGGAAGCGTGCTCTGCTTCTGGATTTTCTCGGGCAATTCGTGAAGAGAGGGTGCCAAACAAGGCACCATCAACGGATTGGGATTCCAATTTGCGTTGGCGCTCTTCCCAATAACCTTTGGCACTTTAGCAAATGAAACCATGCGAGGATGCGAGCGACACCAGCTTTTCTACAAACCATGTGCATGCAGGCAGCCGGACCATGTGACTTTCTCTCCGTGGTCAGACACCGTCACGCCGTGCTGAATGCTGCAGGTGCGCTTCTTCGACCGCCTGTCTGTATGTTCCTGCCCTGTCCGCTTGTTGCCATACGGGCTGCCTGATGGGGTCGTGGGTGTCTCCGGGAACTGCAATCTGTCTGGATTGTAGAGATTACTTACACTTGAAACATATGCACGTGCGTTTAACGAGCGTATGGCAGTAAGATTGCAAACTCAGGGGTAGGAATCACTGCATGTGCAGCAGCTGAATCACATCTACACGCCTCTTCGACTCTAATTACAGTATGTCGACTATGTCTTTCCCACAGCGCCCAGATTCTTTGTCATCTTGGCCTTGGGATCGTGTCCGAGAAACTGACCTTAAAGCAGCACGGCGACATCCTGCAGTGCAGTGCTGCTTTTGCTACCAGATCTTCTGGCACAGGGCAAGGGGCATGTGCCGCTGCTTCAGCAATGGTGTGTCGCTGCTGCATTGGGACAAGGGCTTCGAGGCCGTCCAAGAGTGTTGGCTGCGATACGGTTCCCGCATGTTGGCTATTCGGATGTTGTGACCACCTCTATTCACAAGGGCAGCCAACGACAAGCCCACGGAACAAATAGAACTCCGCAACTTGCCCTCTTCACATCTGACTGCCATGGATAGGTAGGAAAGCTAATGGCTTTAACAAATGGCGAGCTGTGCTGAAGCTGGCGCCAGAAGACATGAGGACGTGATGCAGCGGCACGCTGCCGTGGTGCAATCACACTCGTTCGCGCTACGATGGCGTCGCTCCGGCTCTACTTTTGTCATTTTGCTTTCCGCTGGCCTCTGCAACTGCTATGTCCAGTCATGCGAGGCTGTCAGCTTCCATCTACCTTTCCAGAACTGCAGATACAGCACAGCAGCCATTGAGGCGGTTGCACTAAATGACCGGCCTGCTTCTTGCAATCTCCCCAAACTCAACCTTTGCACAGTGCTTCAGTGCACTACACTTGCCCCGACAGTGTCAGCAGCCGGTCCTAAACACATCGGGAAGGACGCTTTCAGCAAGCTCGCTTCGCGAAGCAGCCAAAGCAAGTTGAAAAATCTGCTCTTCGAAGTACAGTGGGTAGTGGGGCACCCAGCAACATGTCCAAAGCCTTCGTGTCTGAAAAGGGTAGGACGGAGGATGCAGGACAGCAAATGTCATCTCAACGGTGCTGCGATCTTCGTAACAGTTTCTGTAGCTAGTCCAAGAGACCTTTGGCCTTTTGTTACGACTTTGGACACTGCACGGTATCTGACAGTACTACCTCTTTGAGGCCTGCGCCATCACTGCAATGTGTCCGAGGATTCACTGCCCTTCGGGCTCACGCTCGAGCCAGTGTTCACGAAGTAATGGCGCTGCGTGATGTGTTGCGCAAAGTGCTTCAGAAAAAAATGCCCAGCAACAGAGCCAGCCACCATAAGCAACATCAACGGAATTATGCCAGCGAAGCAGCCCGTGACTGGCCATGATGCCACACCAGCAGCAACCCCCAAGACAAGAAAACATCCTCCACATATGCACAGAATATACTTCGATGAGGTATCCTCAGATCGGGCCAATGAACCAACGGCTCCGTTTCGACGTTCACGTAAGGCAGGCAAGGCTAGCTCAGACACCGGCAGCTAATGACGGTTGAGGGGAACTGCAGCTGAGCATCCATCAGGTAAGTCAAAAGGTCGTCCACTATTACGAAATCGCGCTCCAAGCCGGCGCGATACGCTATCTCAACCTGTTTCTGTCAGCAAGACAAGACATTAAAGCAAGAACGAGAACGGGCGTGACTTGGAACTTCGAACAGATCTAAAGCCGTGGCCTCGCCCCCAACCTTCGTCTTGCTCCAGAACTGGGGCTGAGAGGCGCAGTGCGCCCGTACGGGGACCTGCTGCTGCTCTAAATCCTCCGCGACGAACTCAACGATGACCGAAAAGGCATGACCACCTCAAGCATCGTGAAAGCAAATATTTACAGAAATGAGGTTTTTAATTATCATGGACTGCTGATGTCGTTTACACGCCAAAGGTGCTCGGTGCAGCCTCTTGGGCGACTTATTCGGTCTTAAAGAGTCTGCATGCCGCTCAGAAGTTCTATGGCAGACTGCTGCGACGGAAGCTTGCAGCGCTCACCAATTTCTTCGGTGACGGGTCGGAAACGGACAACACTCCTCGCCAACAAGGCCCGAACACAACCCTCGTGGAGCGACTTCGCATCACTAGAGCTCGATTGAAGCCCTCAATATCCCTCAATTTTGGATGCGGTGTGGTGAGGTAAGTTTGGAGGCACCAAACGGACAACTTTTTCTGAGCAAGGACTGCAATGCACCAAGCCCTGAATCCGGGGTGTTGCCGACAGGCAGCCCTGCGCTGAACCCCGATTCCTGGATTTGAAGCACTCGGGCTTCACAACATAGAAGGTTTTGCAGTATTTATGGTCATTGAGTGACATCAGCTGTTGTGGCAGCTGCCAGTACATCGCGGGGCCATAGGCCCTGGGACCAGGACGAGGCATGGTGCATGACACGGATAGGCTCGTCAACACTCGCCTAACTGCAACAATACCTACTTTCCTGTTAATTAATTCTCTTACTACGGGAGTAATCTCACCACACTGTCGCCCACTCAGCTCGCTGCCCCTCTTGTCTACATTCTTCTTGTCCTTGATGACACCACGCACTCTCCGCATCTCTGTGTTGCGATCGTCGAGGAACTCCTTGCGTTTGACACAACGCAACAGGGATGGCTACCCACACTTCAGAACAGGAAGGCCCCGAAAGGAAGCTGACACTGCCGGGTGGAATGCTCACTCCGCTTTTCTCACAGACCTACGACGTAAAAAGTGTGTGCAGAACTTCTTCGTGCGCTTGCTTCACTGCTCGCCAGTACCATTGACTCCAAGCGTCGGCTGCCCAAAGCTCTTGCGAGCGGATGCTCAAACAAATGCACGGCATCCCTGCTGCAAACCTCAGAACTACGCGGGCAGCTCAAGAGCCATTCTTTAACGGTCTATGAAGCTGTCTATCCATCTACCCTTCCGCAGCTGACCTTCAGAAAACGGAACTAAAGCTCGTGTCTGTGCGACAAAGTCGCAAGCCACCAATGAGACCCATCGTGAGGGATACCAGCACGTTGATGCCATCACTGCACCCGGCAGTGACATCCAAACCGCCATCCTCGGTTCGACCGCGAAGCTTGAGTCCGGTTCAGTTCTGCGCTCACAGTCCTCTCGAAAGATTCTGAGACGCTGGCACTCAAACACGTTGTGTTGGGACACGATACCTGGGCTGCACCCTGTCTTGAACTGGCCGAGCCTTTCAACACGACTCTGTGCAGCTTGGCCACACAGCTTGTCTCGAAGTTACCAGGGTAGATATCCAAACAGCCAGGCTCCAAATTGCACTCGGCCTGCGTGCAGGATGCACCTCGGGTAGTGCCAACGAAAACCCATCCAGATCGGGAGATCTGGATAAGCTTGCCACGCAGCAAGCCCAAGCCCCACGCAGTCGTCTGGAAAGCAGGCTGCCGACACCAGCGCAGGAAAGGCGAAGAAGGAAAGTCCAAGCAAGTACCGGCACTTGGCGCTAGCCGCGGCCTCAACTGCGCAAGCAAAGGTACGACCATGTACCAGTTCGCAAACAAGACACTTCAAAGGCTGCAGCCATGACAGAACCGACCATCAGCGCGCAAGACGTCCCTGCAAGCAATTGAAGGTCTGATCTTTCCAGCAACACAGCCGCATGTCATGTTTATCAGATTGCACCAGATGGACAAATCCGAAACAGCGCACGCCTGCTGCCTGGGACCTGGCCTGCATTTACAGAAGCTTAGGCAGGAACGTTTGCCATCTCGCACCGGCTGCGTGCTGGAGCAAAACGGCTGCACCGAACACATGCTTCATCAAGCTTTTCCAAGTCCTGCCTGCCTGCCTGCCCGCATCGTCTACACTCGAGACATCTCGAGACTATAGACTTCTAGTGGGAACTCCGGATCGACGAGCATGCTCTGGACCATCCCCGAAAACAACTAGGCATGCTGACAATTCTTGGAATTGAAATCCGCGAACCGAGGCCAAGCTTGACGGCCAACATAAAGTTGCAGGACCTTCAGAGAGAACAGCTACAGAGATTCGAGTCCCAGGTGTGGCGTGGGGGTGGCCAATTAAGTCATCCTTAAGTTGGGCAGCTTTCGCTAAATTGCCCGGCTGCTCGCCCCAAGATGTCATACTGTACCGTGCCAACGCCTAGACACGCAGTGCATCCGACACGTGCAACTTGGGTGGAAGTGCATCTCAACTTGAATGTCAACTCAGTGCACTTCACGCCAACGGTGTCGAACAACTTGTCCACCTTCACATGTCGCATGTTTCAGGCGTGGAACCTCGGTAAATTCAAGCAAGGCCACAGTTCGTACCTCTTTATACGAGGCCAAGACTGAGCAGGGACGCACCCGCTTAATGTGCCTCGATAACACGGCGCAGTGTTCCAAGCTGAAGGTAGTCTAAGAAACAAACCCACGTCTCACACCAGATCTCAGAATCGATGGACGCTGCTCCACTTGCAAGACACGCTCACTCACGAAACTAAACTTGTTGCTCCGATTCTTCTCCTCCTCTGTCTCAACAGAGAAGAAGAAGCGAGAAACGTCACCCCTTTCGGTTTTCAGGCACGCTGTTTGGCTCACTGCTGTGGTTCAGGGATGCGAGCCGTGCTCTACACATCTTCGGGCGAATATTCTTGCATTCAACTCTGTCACAGCCTTAAGAGCGGCTTGTTCCGACTCAGTATGGGTCCTCGCAAATTGTTGTTATGAGACCTTCTGAATTTTTAGGCCGGCCATGAGCAAAGCATTTTCTGAGGCTTTGGCGTCTCACTCGAAAGCTCGCCTGGGCTTCTTGCAGGGCTGGCCCAAAAAACTGGCCACGTGTTCATGGTGGCCGTGTCTTCGCATGATTTTCGTCAGGAAGCTGGGCTGTGACCATAGGGAAGTTTCCACAATCTCCAACACACTCAAGTCCACCTCAAGGGCATGCAGCACGACTGCTTCATCAAGTCGGAGTTCTTTGGCTGCAAATTGCAGGGCGCAAGCGCGGCTACGCAGTGCCAGTAGCACGAAATCTCGATTTGCCCTCAGTGCCGGAGCCGCAAAACGCAGGGCACAACCGTCTTTGCTTACTGCAGCAGTTGCAAGCTCCATGTCGGCTCTCAGTTCTTCAGATGCGAAGGCCAAGGCATTGGCATACTGGCGGACTGCTTTCATCACAATGTCGCGGTCTCCCCTCAATTCTTTGGAGGCAAACTGCAGGCTGTAGCCATGTTTTTGTACTGCAGCCATGACAACCTCGCGATCTTCACGAAGCGACGGGACTGACAGCTGCAGCGCTGAACTATGGGACTTAACTGCCTCCAGCACAAATTCCTTTCGGGCCCAGAGTTCTTCCGCTGGGTAATTGAGCCTGCAAAGGCGTCGCTGCAAAAGGGTCAGTACAAAGGCCTCTGAATGGCGGAGTGCTGTGTGGGCGAAACGGAGCGCAGACGCGCTTTCTTGGCACGCGGCCAGGACGATCTCTTGGTCGCGCTGCAAATCTTCCTCCAGGCGCTCCAGAACTCTACCATTGACGGAGACAGCAAAGAGGAGAAAGTCCCGGTCTCTTTTCAAAGAATCCGCGACGAAGTCCATGCTGAATGCATCTTGCTCAAGCGCAGCCAGCGCGACCTCCTTGTCTTGTCGCAGCTCTGCCGCTGCAAACTCGAGGGCCAAGCCGTCCCGGCCCACGGCCGCAAGCACGACTGCTTTGCTCTTGCGCAAAACTGCGGAAGCATATTGCAAGGCAAAGCCGTCTTGCTTCACGGCAGCCATGCAAACTTCGGGGTCGTCCTGGAACGCAGCGCAATACTTCAAGACCATGCCATTCCGTTCTGCTAAAGTGAGGGCAAACTCGCGGCACTTCTGCAGTGCCTCCTCTGCCAGGCTGAGGCAAGAGGCATCCCGGACAACAGCTGTTAACACGACCTCGCGGTCCGAACGGAACTTTGCCGGTGCTTCTCGCAGAACTCTTTTGGGATGATGTGAATCTTGCAAATCCTCCAGTAGCTGGACTTGCTCAGCTGGGCGACGAATGAGGGTCACACTCATCATCTCGTTCGATGGGCATAGAGAGGCCAGGGGCAGATCTTCTGGTAGTTCTTGCGTGCCACAGATCAGACGTTGTTCACGGAGACGGATGCCTCTTTTTTGATTTGCTTGCCTTCTAAACCAAATTTTCGACCGAGAAGACGCTGTAAGCTCGAACACCAATTATTCGGGGGTCCGGAGTCCTACGTCGATGTGAACACACCAGGTTTGCTGCCTCCCACTGTGTCACTGTGCCTCACAATGTGCGACGAAAATGTTCTCCCGCGGGCTCGAAATCCCTCCACGGGTAGCTAAGGAATATGGCGAAGCAACAATCGAAAGTGTGCTCCCGCCACAGTTCCGTGTATCCTCTGTGTGTGTGTGTGTGTGTGCAAGCTACTAGGTATGTATGTACCTCACGCACGTACGCATGCATGTATGCATGTATGTGTATGCATATGCCTGCGTATGTATGTGTATATGCATGTACACATTATATCTACATGTGTATATCACTGTACATCTGTGTCCATACCTATATGTAATATGTTGTGTTCTATGTCTGCTTAGACTATTGTTACTATAGTCAGTATATTAGTCATGTGTGTGTGTGTGTGCGTGTGTTTTTGCACCCAGTCTGACGCCAAAGCTTCAAGATTCTGTACATTTCTTTTGTCTGCAATCCGTGTTTCCGGCTTCAGCACAAACCTCCCGCCACAGTTATGTGTGTGTATGTGCAGTCTGGGGAGCCGATCGTGCCCCCGCCGCATTGTAGGCATTTTAAACGCACGACCTGGTCTTGTTAGTTCAGGAGAATCCCCTGCCCTGGACTGGTTCTTGGTCATGTAACGTCTATAGCAGGGCTTGGCCTTCTAGGTGCTCTCTCGCTGTTTGTCTACGAACAGTGGCAGAACATGCACATGATGTCAAAAAGTTCAGTATAGCGCAGACTGCATTCACGCAAGGGCCGCAACCACCGACAACTTGGCATTAGAGTACACAACCAGGTTGGCCGATTTATAGACTATGCCGAAATAGGCATAACGAGCATGTTGGCTAAGAAGCTTTGCCGCAAAAGGCTTTGTGCATGACTTGTGTCCCTACCTGAAGCGGTCTTGACAGCCATCTTCAGGTCACGCGATGCCCAGGTGGGATCTGCGTGCAGTTGATAACTTTCACCGCTCAGGGTGGTGACGCACACTTCCATTGCCAAGTAGGGTAAGAAGACCGAGCGACTAAGTGGCGAGTTCGTGTAATTCGAGGCCATTGCACTTCTGTGCTATGTTACAGCAATCTGCAACATTCACCCAACCTTGTAGTGTCAGGTGTGTCTGCGGCTAGGTGCTGCTGTCATTCTTCTTGCCTGCCTGCGTTTGTTGCCGGACTCAACTAATTGACGAGCTTGGCCGCGGTCGCTGTCTGCAAATCTCAGTATCCAAGCAAGCTCGAGTCAGCTCGAGTGAACAACACCTTCGTCAGCTGCTGCCGAGACGTTCCGAACGTTCCGAATGTTCCGAATGATCCAAGTAATCAAGGTGGGAGGAACCAGTTTCTTCGTAGTGCCTGCACAACTGTCAGCCCCATGTACGAATCCAATTCCGGAACAAAACATACTATTATAGGTAACTTGCTTCGCAAGTTTTGCGTGACACAACTTGAAACAAATGCTCCAGCGGCGTGCTCGCACACGGTCTGGACAACCTCTCCAGCTTACCAGCTATCAACTGTGAGCATGTGGTCTTAAAAGCCATGGCGAAGCTTGAGCGTTGGCCAGCTCAGCCGCACGAACTCCAGCGTAGGCCGTGGCTGGCAAGACCGGCACTCTGTTGGATGCCATCCTGGCGCAAGCAGTGTCTGAAGTTGCTCTTGCAAAGCCCTAGAGCTTGAGCACAAACCCTCCGGACATGCTCCCTTCTGGGCATCACGTGGGCCTTCGCCAATAAATATTCCTTCATCCTAGTTTGGGATCTTGGTCCGCACTTGCGCGCACCGTTCGCGCCCTTGCAAATCTGTAAGATGCGTTCGCATGAGACGAAACCCCAGGACGTTCCTAGCTTCAGACCTTGCGCTTGCACTTGGTAAGCGCTTGCACGTACCTTGCGCGCACGGCCTTTTCGCATCATTTAGGCTCTCGCAACTCGGACATGCCAGACGAGTTTCGCATCATTTATCATATCACGATTAGGCGCCTATTAAACAGCTAAGCAAGGGTTTTCGGACGCAGCCCACGTGCGGTGTCTTCGTCTTCCAAGACTTGACGAGGATCCAAGGAACGTTGCTTATCGGGTCAGGGTTTCACAGGTCCGGTGAGGGGCAGCAGTCGGAGGTTCGCTGCATTGCTGGCGGAGCAGGGTGGGCAGGCGCCAGACGAAAATTCTGACACCGCCCTAAACTACAACCGTCCCACAAAAACTACGCAGCAGGACATGCCTGTGAAGAAGGATTTGGGCCATGTGCCAGTGGCTTCCATTTGTCCAGGAGGCCACAGCCGTGTCGTAGCTCAATGCGCCAACACGCACTGCATGATCTCCCATCCTTAGACAACTGCATAACTACATGAACCACAGCATCAGGCAGCCAAGGAAACCATGCAACCGAAATCGTCCCACCTTGTCATGAGCAGCGTGGCCACAGCCCATTGCAGTTTACACGCCGCCTGTGTTGTAGACCAAGTAATGACATCTGCCACCTGCCGCCCCAGAACATAAACAGAAAGAACAAGTACGCTGCATAGTGCAATCGCCTGGCCTCATTTAAAGAGCAAGTGCGCAATAAATGCAAAGCCCGTAGCCACACGGAGTTCTCTTGGCATGCACTCACTGCTGTATTGACTGTGACCTGCGTCGTTGAGATATTGCATTTGTGAAAGGACCCGAGCATGCTCAGAGCTTGGGTCCATTCTGCGGCAATCTCGCAGGCCTTTAATACCGAACTCAAGCTTCGCGTTGTGCCGTTTGCGGTGGAGACGAAGGCCAAAGCACTTTGCCAGAGCGGCCCGCAGGAACCGCACGCGAGCACGAGGCTTGCTTCATTCTCCCAAAGGCCTGCTTCCCGAATATGCTTGTACAGGCCAAAAGCAGCCTGCCAATGGCTGGCCTGCAAAGCGCAGGGGTCACTGCTTCGCTCTGCCTCGGCAAGACCCCTCAAACTGAGGCCCAAACGTCCGGTAACGAAGCAATTCCACAATTGTAGCTCACGGTGTTGGTCAGTCTTCGAAGCTGCAACTCAGCTAGTAGCCCCAACGTAGATGGCCAGCCCGAAAGCTGCGAACAGCTCATTGCGCTATTGAAGCCTCCGACATCGTTCAACCAGGTTGTCAGCCCACGGACAGACTTGACTTGCTGGCGAGCTTCAGAACACTCCAAGTTCAACCAATATGGCCCGAGCTTTGGTCAACCTTATGAAAACAGCTCGGCCACAGATTCTGGAAGCGTGGCGATTCAGTGGGCAAGCAGCATGAAGAATGCTCGTCGCCATTGGTCCGTTGCTTGCAAAGAACTCGTGGTGGAACACAAGCAGAATTGATCGGGAGTAGCCTTAGCACTGCACTTCCCCCTCGCTCTCCATCACAATGTTGGGCACTACTTCCCTCGACCAACAAGCCGGGTCACATCGCGCTGCAGCAGAAACCATAGCTGGAGCACAAGCGTCCAGTTGCATCTGCTACCTGTGATGACACTGCTGGTAATCAGCTGGTTGGATCGGACCTGCGCAACATGGCGCGGATATTGAACGGTTACATAAGTGCGGCATGCCACATTCCACAAATTTGATGCCTTCTTGCTGCTCAAATCTTGCAAAATCTCTAGACCCGAAGGCCATCCCGGCTGGCCACAAGCGTTAACAGCCGCTCCGAAAGTGACCTCGCAGAGAGCTTGACGATGCCCAGGGGGTCACAGAACCACTGATGCAGCCGTCGCCTGCCTCGTTCACGCGAACCTGACGTGATGACCTGCAGTAGGCCGTAGGCCCCAAACCCACACTCAACATGCAACTGGGATGCAAGAGTTTATTACTGTTAAGGCCCGGCATGCCATGTAGAAGAATGGCCAGCTGCCATGGACCGCGCCGACTTGCATTTGTTACCGCACCGCACACGACCGTGTCGCTCCTTAGTGCCATGCAGTGAGGCAAGACTTCGGCGGACCGCCCTCGCAGAGTGCAGGTGTCTTTACGTAAATTCGGCATCCGGCTTAAGACGTTCAGCTTGGTGTAGCCTCGCGCTCTCTGAGAGCGGCAACTTTGGTGGTGCTAGTCGCGCTGCCACTGGGGATGGAGATTGTAGAGCGTAGAACAGCCGGTGCCATCAATTGCAATCTGCTTCTGAAGCCGAGCATCTGAAGTCCGGCGAGAAGTAAATCTCTCCAACTTTGGATAGCTGCCTTCCAGTCAACGGCAGTGAGTGACGAGATAAGTTTGCTGTAGAGGACCACATTGGCCTGCAGGACAAGGCAATGGAAACCAGTGCGAGTCTGAGACACCCTACAACAAGACGCTCTGCAGCACAAAGATGCAACAATGCAGGCGAAGGCTACCGTTGCAAATGTGGAATAATTCTCGGCCGAATGTCTGATTCTTCTTCTCCACGAGTGAAAGCCTATTGCCTTTCTCAGCCTGGCCGTCCTTAGGGAGCTGTCGGCTCCTTCTTGCAGACCCCTAAGGAAGGTTGCCTGCCTTGGGCTCTGTGCGACTGCTTCACAGGCGTTTCTGCACACTTCGCCAGGCCATTCCCAGCCACCCCGGAGGCGCTGGATCTCAAGCCATCCCCAGCAGAAGCAACAAAGGAACAGTTCCAAGTGTTTCACCCCTCGAGCGACAGTCGCCTCAACCACCTCTCCAGTGGACGCAGCTGACCGGCAAGACCTTCAATACCAGGCTGCATTCACAACATGTCGACATGCTATGCTCGCACTTGCACTGCCGAGTAGGGGCAGGCGCAGGTGTCAGCTGGACGATATGCATTTTGTGGTTTTGGCCCTGCAAAACTTTAATTACACAGAGGGAGCATCGAGATGTCAGGCAATTGTTCTACCACTGTCATGCCATGTGCCGCACCTCGACAGGGCTCTTGCTGCTTGAATCTCCTGCTTGCCCGCGACAGTGAATCACACAGTGTGGAGTTCTATGGAGTTTTGACTTGGCTGATTTAGCCCCTAAATCTCCTGTCCACATCGAGGCTCGACACTTGTTGCATTGCCGGGGCTTCCGTGGTGTCTGGTTGGCCTGACACAACACAACTTTGATGCCCAGAGCATTTGACAAATCTGCTGCCACCTCCCTGAATGCATCCACAGGCAGCGTGCTCCATCGGCCCGAGCACTGAAACCCAAACGGAGCTAGTCGTGGCCGATGCGCGTAACTGCTCGAAGTTGCGAATCTACCGAGGATGGGTGCGAAGTGGAATATCAAAGATGAAAAATCAACATCATTCAACATCTCTGCTGTAGCTGTTGACTGAAGCTGACTCAAGAAGCATGGCGCCACAACTTTCGGGATCCTCAAAGTATTGGACCAGGTCCATCGGATGTGATGCGACGGGCCCGCACCCAGAGTTTCAACCCTTACCTCCGCCAATCTGGATCTCAAGCCAGCCTGGTTTGGGATTCGATACTGTATCAGCACATCTGAATCCCAAGACAACCACAATCGACTTCTGTCTTCAATGGCACGCTCGTGTGAAGTTAGCCAGCTTCTGGGGCGTGTTGCCTGCGATTTTCCCCCGGCTTCAGAAAATGTCTTCCAAAAGCCCCGAGCTCAATGGCCAGAGCAGTCTAGCCGTCTCAGTGGCTACCGCACGATGCCTTTGCAGCTTTGCCACTGCGATGGACAGCCTACATACCTCGATTTCGAACAGTAAGCCGGTGCCGTAAATCTGCAACATGCGGAAGCTCATGTGACACACATGTCCTACAGTCCTACACTCGCGCAGTTCCTTTAGTAAATATGTTAATCGGCAGGCCATGCATGCATCAACTTGGTTGATGCTGCACGTCGACTACGCCGGCCATGACAGCATCTCTCCGATGAAAAAGCTGTGAATGTCTGCAACGCTGCAAAATGTTTGTGCCGCTGTCACTTGCTCACTGCCAGCTCGCTTCGCCCATGTCCTTGCTAGGCATTGCTAGGATGCACCTGATTGCAGGACAACGAGGTCTCTTGAAACAAATACTGCCGATGGTGGGCCACATGCCTCCGGCATGCTGCTCCATGTCGTCAGCCTAGCATGTACTATGCACATTGGCTGCTACAAAACGACAATGCGACAGTCCTGTTCATCAGAGCCGCGCCACAAACCTTGCAACACGAGCGTCTTGTGGCGTCGTGGTGGCGCAACTCTGTCCCAAAAACTTCCACTATAAATTTCAAACGTGGAAGGCATAGTTAAACCTAACTATACAAAGTGTTGCATGATCAGCTGGGCTGATTGCAAACACGTCTGCCTTCGAAAGGCAAACCAGTCGAAACGTATGCTTAATTGCCCTTGCCTGTCAGGCGCACGTAGCACGCCAGATGGCTTCAGAGCTGCAATCCGAAATTCTCTAAGCTTCCGAGAGATTCTTCGAAAACATCTTGGACAACGTGGCCACGAGCTTGTTTTTCGGTTCGGGCTGTGGATCTGCCATCTTCTCCTGGTTCAGCAGCAGATGCAGCACCTCAGTGGAAGCAAATCATGTCAAGTGAATGAAGCTAGGCGAAGACGAAGCTAGGTCTGGCATTGAGCATCCAACTTCCTCTGGAGAGAAAACTGCCTCCTGTCGGGATATGTCCATTTGTCGTACTGGTTAACTCGGAAGGCAGCTCGCCTGCAAGTGTTCGTTGACAACATCACTGATGGTCATACCCATTTCCTGCTAAGGCATTGTCGGGCATGTGGCACATTGACACTCCCTGCAGAACAAAGCAACGAATGAGCAAGCCGGTGTCCAGTTGCTCACGATGCCATGGCTGTTGCATAACGTGTTGCCGTGCAAACCTGAGTGGCAGCACTTATGAAAGGCCGGTCAGATCAGATTTCGCAACGATGGTCTTTCTCAAACCAAGTCTCGTGTGGATCACCTTGCTGAGCTGCTCCACGTCTTCATGCATCACGAGCTCCAAGCTCTCTGCTAAGCCTGTCGCAGGCTTTCACTCGTCAAGGCTGTCGGATGCTGTCGGACAGACAGGCCTAAACTTCTTTGAACTTGCGGCCACTGCAGCTGGTCGTGGGCCAGCTCCTGTCGCAGGTTCTGCACGCAAGGAGACGTCAAGCGTCTCTTTCACTCCCGTCTGCGTCTGGTCCTGGGTCTTGAGGATCGCCAGTATCACCTGCTCCTTCGGGAGGCGCTCGAGCTCAGCATGAAAGGGAGCTCCGTCCGGAAGCCGTTGCCACATCGGCCTTAAGCACTGGAGATGTCAATCCGCTCCATCCTCCGGTCCTCCGAGCCAAGGAGCTCCAGAGCATTCCCACATCCGTCATCACGTGGCACTAGCTCGTAGTACATTTTCCTGCAGCGCCACATGCGTGCCAGTCTGCGCTGCTTGCAACTTGAAGTTGAGGCTTCTGCACAACAATAACTCTTAGTGTCCCGAGCTCGCTGTGATACTTCCCCAAAAGCATGGATGCAGCTTCATAGGCTCTTGCAAACCGGAAGCAGGGATGAATAAGTCTAGCTGGACTTAGAAGTTGCCACAGAAGTAATCCCTGTTGCCCGTTTGCACGGCAGCTCGGCGCCGGAAACTTCGGCCAAGACTCCGATCAGACTCGCTTTTGCGAGGAGCCTGTCGGACGGCGACGTTTCCGAGACCCGGGCACCATTTACCCTAGAGCCCTAGAGGCCCTACTTGTAGAGGATTTAGTCGCGCCTCCAACCAAGCGAAAAAACGGCTGGTTTCGCCCAAGCTTCCAGCAGATGAGTGAAAGCCTCAGCCCCATCTTCCGTTTGTTTCTGGCATCCAGACATACAGCATCTTCAACATCAAACAAGTGCCATCCACGAATACTCCCATGCCGTCGATGAAATCTGTCCCGGTTGCCGGCAAGCCACAAAGCAATAACTCGCCGAGCACGGGTGTGTTCATACCTCAGGACATGGGGGGGTCAGTGTGCGGGATCTGTCTCGCGATCATGGCCTCAGGCGCCGAATCTCTGTGCTGAGTCTGCAAGTGCAATCACTCCATTTTTCGTCTCAGCAGAGAGGAGAAAATGGTTGTCTTCTATCTGCCACAGGCCATGCGAGCTAGTGTTGATATTTTTGGGCGGATAAGTCCACGAAACAAGCTTCAAACGGTCATGTCATTTTGATTTACGGCTGAGCTCCAGGGTCCATGCTGAAGCCATAGAGGGCACTGAAGAGTACAAACGCACCCAGAACTGGGAAGGCGATCTTCAAGTCAACTCCAGGGGCGTCGGCTACGAGCATCTCCTTCTGGTCCACTACATCAATGGAGCCATCACGAGAACGGCAAAGTAGGCGGTAAGTGTACTTGCCGGGTGCGACCATGGAGTCGGTGAAGGAATACTCATGTCCGCTGTATGGCTTGGCCAGGAGCTGGGGGTTCTTCATGTTGTCGTATGTGGCAACTTCCTCGAAATTTGTGCTGCCTGCTGGTTTCCTCTCGATGATGTAGCCGACCTTGGTGCCAGGAACACCGCCTGCCCACTGCAGCATGACGTCGTCGTCGATCAGGGTGAGCTCCATCTCGCTGTCATCGTACTCGGTGTCCACGTCGCCACCGGCAGGGTCCCTGATCCCGTTCTTCTTCAGGGTCCTCCTGGCATCCTTCACCAGCACATCCTCGTCGACAGGCTTCCAAGGCACGACCAAATTCTTCGGATCCACAACACCCCCGATGTAGTACTTCTTCCTTTGGGTTTCGACCTCGGCCTCCAAGGCCATCTTGTACTCCTCAGGAGACAGCTCAATGTCCTGCTCCACCTTGAGGAATTCAAGCATGTCTCCATCTTCTGCCTCTCCCTCTCCTTCAGCCCTCACAGCTGTTAGCTGCCTTCTTGGGGTTTGCGCATGGATACTTGGGCCATTCGGCGAAACGAAGGAAGGCATGAGAACGCGCACTGCGAGCAAAGCAATTGCAAGCTTCGCGATCATAAGGCGGCGGTTCACGCTGGACATGGCCATCCCTAAACAGTGCGCTTGAGGCAGCGACTTCCCTCTTCCTGTTGGGCCGGTCGAACCGAAACTGCGGCACGTCCACAACTGCATACAATGGCAGCTCGTGTCGATTCGTCTACTGCAAGCAGCAGTCCATCATGCTTGCTCTTGCAACACAGACACAAGGCCAGACCTCCAACGACATCAAGGCCCTGGCGATTGCGCATGTGCGAGTTTCGCCGGGCAAATCTCCAAACGTCGCTCTTGGAAGTCTCCCCGCTCTTGTGAGGCAATATGCCAGGCAGGAGGACACCCAGGTTGATGGCACAGTCCTGCGAAAAGCTTCCGCACCCACTACCCCCATGCAACAGCAGTGCTTGCACTATCTTGCACACAGCCACATGTGAATGGATAGTCAACCGTCCCGGCGGAGTCGATCGACCGCCCCGTCAGGTGGGTTCTCCCACTTGTAGTTTTCATCGCAGGCTTGCGTTTCCTGTCACTTCGGCGTGTGCGAGGACTCGGAAAAAGCATGATCATGTTAAGCCCTGGCGCCTTTCTTTCATGGTTGTTCGCTTCCAGCAGCTTGCGGAGCTGCTGGCTGCAGGGAAGGTACAGTTCCCTTGCTAAGCTGGCAACTTTCTGGATTGATTTGCTGAGAGCAGCTTCATCTTTGTCATCCGCCACAGTCTTCTTCTTATCCAAATCGTTAATGACCTGTGGCGCCACTTGTGTTTTTGTTCGGACTTCGGGCTCTCGTGGCTTGAAACCAATGCAGATCCCGCCTTCAATGCCTGGGCAAGCCCAGCCACCTTCTCCGGCAGTACAGAGTTTGGTATTCCGGAATGCTTCAGCAATTGGGCTTGCCATTGGATGAAATCGTCGATCTCGACCAGCATGTCTTTCCCATCATCGGTTAAGTTCTCATACTCTTCCTCCGCCGCTCGTACCCATACGTCTGCCTTCTTCTGGAAAGCTACCGGCGTATGCTTCAAGGCATTAGCAATGATGCGGTAGGTGCGGAGGAACTGGTCCTTCGAGATACCACTGCGATCAGGGTCGTAGCAGTCGTACAATGGCTGGAGCGTGTCTCCCAAGTCATATGTTTGGAGCCAACCTTCTGGACTGAAAGTCATGGTAGCGTGGACGTTAGTAAGCCAGCCTGCAAACTCAGGCAAATCTACTTGCTCATCGCTGTTGATGTCAATTTCTTGAAGCAAAAGGGCGGACTGATGGTCATCCCACGCAAAAGCTGCAGAGAGGTTCTTCGCAATGTTTTTGAACTCTTCCCGGTCAATGCGGCCGCTACCATCTGTGTCCAAGCACCCGAACCAGTCCTTTATGACATCGCACCTCGAGAGGTCACAGCTTATGAGCAGGGTGAAGGACAAGCGTTCGTGGGCTAATGCCACCTGCACTGCGATCCGTCATGTACACTGCACTACCCATTCTTGAGCTCAGTGTTACAGTACAAGCACTTGTGAGCTGAGTCTCCAATAGGTGGCTTTCTTGGAAGCAGGACTCATGTCATCGGCAGGCTCTGGGAATGAAGACTTGCTGGCCGCTGATGGGCTGGGGGAGTGATCTCGAGATCCGTTTGACGAGGCAGGCGGCCGTGGCACCTGGAGGTGACTGCCGGTACTACCACTGTGATCCGGGGACAGCAGAGAATTAGGAAGAGTCGGCGCTGTTGAGCTTCGAGACCAAACCACGACATCTGGAGAACTCTGCGTGCTAATCTGGCGTTCTGAGAACTGAGCACTCACTGAGTTCAACTCCGTGTCAGAGCCACTGTCATCATCCAGCATGGAAGCACATCGCTTCGACCACGACGGCCGCCGAAATCTGCTACTTAACGGCAAACTGGATGGGACTAACTTCGAGGAAGCGAAGGGCTTCATGACTGGCTCAATGGTCGGCAGCTTTTCCATGGCCTTTGATTTCTTCGGAGACTTGTCGAGCTTGTCATTGTGACTCGCATCATGAGATTTTCTGTGGAATGCACCTTTTCTGTGCACAGTCTTCGGTGGACTTATCGGCACTTCTCCAACCAAGCATTCGAACCTTGGCGGCAGTTGCAATGGGCTGCAGCAGGCAACAGGGGTCTACATCAACGACGTTGTAACGGCTGTCATCATGCTGGTGCACCACGGAGATAGCTTAGTCGGCAAGACTCGCCCGGTAGTCTAGTTGTAGAAAGCGCTCGGCTGCTGTGCAAAATTTGGCCAAGCAGCTGCCGATCGCCAAGTATGCCCTTGGCTTCGGCTTGCGCCGCCTCCAAGAAGTGCTTCTTCTCCGCTGGATGCTGCTTCAATATGGCATGGAACCTTTGCAGATAGACTTTTTAGGACGCACGCTGTGGTTTAAGGATGCTCTGGGGCCTAGGGCTTGGCTGCAGCCTCTCGCTGAGCCAACCGTTAGTCGTTCAGTCTGCTTATCTCGGTTATCTGTCTCTCTTCGCCCATACACACGCACAACCCTCTGACGGGCTTAGAGTTTAGACTTGCCTGAGTCAAGCAATTTGGTGACGCCAACACAAGAAGTGCCCAGCCCGGCGGAGATCGCGAATCGAAAATGATGACGTTACTGCAAGGTTTCCCTTCGCATAGCTTCAGATCACTCAGCTTGCCGCTTGCCGGCTGGTGCATGTTGGTGTCTTCTGACATTACGAACACGAGCAAGTCTCAGCGAAGGAGCGCTTGCTACCGGCGGCTTGGAGGGCTCTAGAGTATCCGATCATCCTGAGGCAGTCTCTTCTGGTTCACTCCTTGCTGAATGTGGCCTTATGCCACTCTCTGCTTCCAACCTCTTGACAGCAGGCATAAGGGCGACCCCTCGTGTTGCTACAGATCCTGTCGAAAGTTCCTAAACCGACGAGCGCCAACATGCAGAAGCTGTGGCCTCTAAAACATCGAGAACATGCAACGGCTGCGTTACGACATCAGGCGAGGTCTGCAGCAAGCAACGAGGTAGATGGCAAGGCCAAGCACTCGCACGCGGCGGCCGCTTGCGCCGTGCGAAGACGATGATGGACGTTCAGCATAATGCATAAGCCCAGCATGGCTCCCGCACTCCATGTGTGGAGTACCGTGTGATCATCTTGGATCAGCTCCACCTCCCCGGATTTCAAGATGTAGACCCTCGGTAAATCGCCACGTTGCCCTATGAATCGTGAGCTGCCAAATCAAGCAGAGCGGCTTCTTGCACTCTTCTCCCTGAAGCCAAATCTTCCTGGGCCCAGCGAAGCCACAATTATCTACTGACAGAGCTACGCTGCTACATTTTGCGCCTGCCTCAGATCAACCGTCTGGTTGGTCCAGAGGGTCGGCGGCTGGAGGTAACCAAAACAACGCTGGTCAATGCCGGAGTGTGCCGCTTTTCTCGACGCATCTTCGATAACTTCTGCGCTAAGGATGTCTTTGCCGTGCCGTTTGACGAGTCTGTGCGACTGGTGCAACCTACATCGCAAAAGCCCTCGAGAACAGCTGGCCGACTGGAGCAAGTGAGGCAGACATCAATTCTGGAAACAGAGGGATTGGAAGTTCTAAAATTTGGGCAAGCATGTCAACGGATACTTCCATAGTGATTTGTGTGAGCGATTGACAACGGCTACCAAAAAGGCGTCATGAATTCTTAGGGTCCCAGGATTTGGGGGTCCTGTTTCAGCATCGAGTGGGAGTGGTGGAGCGCTCCAGAGATTCGAACCACAAGCAGTGCTCCCTTGGTCTTCGAGTCTCCCGACAACAAGTGCCTTCCGAAGCATGAAGAGTCCCAACCTACCTAAGTCGGTTGTCTTTGGCAATCCAAACAAAGTTTTAGGAATAGATGTCGCGCAACGATTGCTAGCCAAGCATCTCACCAGGTTGGTATGTTTCCAGCTGTGCAACCAGCACTATTTCTGAGACGAAGCTGGTGCCACACGGCGCCTTGAATTCAACAGCAACTGTGCGCAGTTCAGGCTCCAGGGAAAGGGAAACAACAGCTGACAGAAGCACTCCATGAATGGATCGGCCAGGCACGAAAAGTGAAGTCGTCGAAAGATCCTCGTCGTGAGTTCGTAGTCCCTCGGGGCACTGCTTCGGCTTGAGGATCGCATCTGGGTCTGCATGCTGGCTCAGAGGTCCTGTCACAGGCATCTCCGACTAGCCAGTACGGGCAAATCGCTTCTTCTCAGTCCTTCTTGGTGCATAGGCCTGCTTCCTTGGCAGGAGAAGGACTACATCAACCCAAGGCATAGCACGGCAGCAAAGGCATTGCTCCAACTGCAGGCGAAGCACGCGTCAGGTTGTGCGACTGCCCAGTTGCAGCTGCAAGCAAATGTCTAGCGTGAGCAGAACAGCAAGACCCGGTTGTGAAACTCGAGCGGGTCAGGGCCGTTCGGCTGCTAAAGTGGACTGCAAACTATGAGATCGTCGAAATGTGCTGTGCATGTCGCCGGGTTGGCGCCTTTCGCTGCAAAGCCTAGTCATGATACTAATGCTTCCCTCGCTCTCGCCAGCAGCGCAGGCAACGACGCAAAGGCCAGGTTTTGGCCGTGTCGTGACGACAGCGCTCGGTCACCAAGTCCTGTCATGTCCCAGTCCCTTTCGGGACATGCTTGCGACTGGACCGGCTAGAGTAATTTGGTGGCGCTTTATGTTCACTCTCTTCGAGAGGAGACGCGTGGAGCTTTGCCCGCGAGAAAACGCGCGCCAGCGGCACATCTTGTCAAGCCAGGGCTGTGTCAGTCAACAAGCACCGGGCTCACACTGTTGATCGTTTGACGCCTTAAACTGGGACTTGTAACTCGCGACGTGGAGTGGTTGACCTTGTGGTCCGCCTCGTAGCCCAAGTTGACAAGGTTTCGATGCCCGTCCGTCACGGCCAAGGCATGTCGAGCATCTGCCAAGGCAGGAAGCTGATTTGGCCCGGTGCTGAGAGCATTTGCCAGGGCCTCGGGCAGCGAAATGTCACGGAAAAAGCCTGTGTGAACAAGCTCAGCACTTTGAGGCGAGATGCATTCATGGAGCTCTTGAGCTTGTCGATGCCTCTGGGGCATAGAGCGACTTCGGTCACAGTAAGCCCAGAATCAGTTAGCAGAACCCTTGCCCGTTTTGGGTGAGAAAACCACCAGTCAACCCATTGGAAGATTATTCCTATACCCCCCCCTACACCCCACCCAATATATCTAAGGTGGTACTTTTGAACCCAGGCTCTGCTCCATCATCAGCACCCGAACTGGGCAAAGGTTCTATTATAGAATGTACTAGGTTTGGTTTCAAAGGTTGTAATCATATGAGAATTACATCCCATAATCTCTTATGAAATGTGCTTACATTATACTCATGGTTTAAATTCACTTTTCGGTTTATCATTGTATAGTAACCGTGGTTCTATACTGCATTAAATACCTAGCCGTTTTGCAATAACAATGTCTTTTGAAATGCACTGAATTCTTCCATTCTTTACGTCTAACACGCTGCCTTTCGCAATGAGGAGGATGATACTCAGTATTAAAATCCATGGTTATCTTATCAACATGTATTGTCATCTTATATAATTGTTCAATATTTGTCATAATTCATTAATTATGATAAACATTGTTTGAAAACTATTTCGTATCTTGGAGTTTTTATTATTTCATCAAATTTATCTATCTCATTTATTACTTCTATATGTTTGTCCGTATATATATATATTTAAAACCACATAATTTCTAACAAGTACTGATGTTAGAAGATATTCTTAACGTAGAACCTACAGACATACCCAAATACAATTATAAGAATAGTAAATACGAGATGATGCCAAGTCTACCTGCAAGAATGCTATGTGTTGCCTCTTCAACGTTGCAAATCGGTTTTAATACACAATCTAATACTAAAAGATTTACCGTTGTTCTTTTGAGAGAATATAGATTTTTAGCCCTGGTGCTAATGCCGATGACACATGGAGGGCAGCCAAGAAATATATTACTGACGTAATGAAAGTGGATACCGAAAGGGAGAAAGCATATTACGAAGAATACGATGCAAATGCATTAAAGCATATAATAGAAACACAACACAAGGTACTAGACTTCCAGAAGAAGAATAATCAAAAAGAGTTGTTTAGTATTTTGATAGTGGTGGACGACTTCGCCGATGACCCTGAATTCGTGAGATATTCCAATATCTTGCATGGATTGTTCACACGTGGAAGACATAACGCCATCTCAGTGTTTTATCAACACAACAATATAATGTCCTTGCCCCTATAATAAGACTTAATGCTTCGGCACTGGTCATACTTCAGCACTTGTCATATTCAGACTGAAGAACATGAACGAGGTAAATAATTTCCTAGAAGTAAATAGTGCCCTTGTAGACAAGCGAACACATTTTGTGACATGTATCAACAAGCGGTGAATTTTGCACCTTACTCGTTCTTTGATATAAACACAAATGCTAAAGATGTGAATGACATGTTTTACTTTAACTTTGAACAGTGCTTTGAAATAGGTGATTAATAATATTATTTCAACTGACAATATGATTAGTCACGACTTCGTCCTGACGGCGAACGTTCGCCTCACTATCACTCTTATTTTTCGTTAACTTATTTACTTATTTCTTGAATTTTTCTACTTCATTTATTGTTGCCTGTAAAGCACTCCATAAAATTGGCACACATGTTGTGTAATCAAACTTTAAATGACAATCTTTTCCTCCTTTGGCTACATTCTGCCATTCATCTGGCATCTTCTTTGTTTCCGTAAAATCATTAGCGATAAATCCAATACACGATTTACCTTGTTGTCTATCATCATTTTTGCCACCCGCCCAGCTGAACAAGTCTATCATCGTTAAAATGATATGTTTTCGGTTTAATATATTTTACTGACTCTACAGCTTTTTGAAATTTACTTCCTTTATATCTTTCTTTAATCTTCTATCCGATGAAACAACTAACGACCCTGTATATGAATGGTCGCCATAAACATCAACACCTGTTGTTGTTGTTGTTGCTGCATCTAATGTTGATAAATTGTTATTCCTTAATCTTATCCATCCGTTGTCATCTGAGTTATTTATTAATACTCGTTGCTGTCCTGTTATATCATCATGTGTTATTTCTAGGTTACCTAATAAAGTAACTTCGGCTTCGCTCAATGATAATTCCGGTGTGCTTCCTATCGTTCCTATGATAAAATTAATTGCTCTGTCGGTGTCTCCATTTCTTATATCTAGATCATAATCACTACCGTCTAAAGTTTCCTTTATTGCTGATGAATGTTGAAAATAAACACCACCCAATACATCTAAATCTGCTTCTGCTGTCATTTTCCTATACTGTCAAAAGTCTGATTGTTTGTAACGGCTCTGTTAATAGTAATTCCGTTACTGTCGTTTAGTTGCAGTGCTATTGATCCTGTTGTTGGGTCTGTTCTATCACTTTGTAAAGAAACACTTCTTTCTTGTGTGGACGTTACATTCAAAGAATTATTCATGTCTGCTCGTTGAAATATTCTTCCATTAATGCTTAGTAGCTGTTGTCCTAAAAATGCTGCATCGTTTTCTACTCTTGTTTCATTAAAGTAACCATAAATGAACAAACCTAGCCGTGCCCATTTTGGGATGACAATACCACATTAGGGAATATGGATGGGGTAATTGAAATTGGTTATTCCTATACTGGTCTTGGAAATGGGGTAGTGGTAGTGATATATTGGGTGGGGTGTAGTAGGGAGTATAGGAACAATCCTCTTAGTAGTAGTGGTGATATAGTTGGTGAAGTGTAGGGGGGAGTATAGGAATAAACTTCTAATGGGTTGACTGGTGGTATCATCACCCAAAACGGGCAAGGGTTCTGCTAACTGAATCTGCACATTTCTACACCCAGAGCAGCGCAGAGGTCACAGGCACAAGCTTCTGCAGCTGGAGCGCTGCACTGCTCGTCCTCGCTGGACTGCAGCGGCATCGCCTCTGACAGCATCTGCGCCTGAACAGCCGAGCGAGGTCTTGGCAGTGCTCTGTTAGATCTTCGTCTCCGGCAGGGAAGTAGGGCGGAGTGGCTTTCTCTTGTCGTGTCTAGATTGGGTATCAACCTTCGGCTTCTGATCGGATGATGGTTCGCTCGAGAAAGGCCAAGCTCCTTGGGCTCTGCGCGCCTTTTTAGCAATCTCACGTCGAAGAGCCAGCGCCCGCCTGAGACATGCGCTCATACAACGTGGGATCGTGCAGCAAACGCTCTTCCATGGAGTGCGCCATGTCACTGATAGTATCGGCGGTAGCTCCTTTGCACCTCCGGCCGCTGCGCCAAGACATTTGCAGAGCGTGCCTCCTGATTCCTGCAGCGGGGCTCTCAAACTCGGAAACAGCTGCAAAGCACTGGAGGAAGGAAAGCGACACGGGGCTTTCAACAGTGGCCTCAGTTGATCGAAGAGTCGTCCTTCGAATATTTGGTGGAATTGCACCACACTCTCCTCTGTTGCACAGGCAGGGGCACTGGGGCTTGGAAGAAAGCAGTGACCCACTAAATCGATCCGAATCGAGCGTCGATAAAGTGATCCACATGCAACATAAGTCGTGCAAGGGCTGAGTGAAGAACTCGTCGTGATCGAAGAGTTCCAAGCTGCACGCAAACGCCTTCCAAGGGGCTGAGGATTGTCCTGGCAGGGCTAGAACGATTTTCAGCTACTCGTGACACTACACATGGCACCCTCGTGGCCCAAGCTTATCAACCAAACTTGAGTGCACGGAGCTGGGATGCTGAGACAGCGGCCTCCGAACATCCAACAGACAAGCCAGGTCTTCCTGGATTCATAACAGGCTACAGGCTCGGACACGCAAACAATCGTCGGCATGGGTGACCTGTGCCAATGGTACCGAGGTGCTGCCATCTGAAGAAGATTGCTGATCAAGGCATCGAAACCGGGTATAGCTGGTCCACTGATCGCTGTGTCTTGGAGGAAGGCTGACGACAGGCCACAGCGTGACCTCGGTAGCGTTCGGACATGTTCAGACCTCGCCAGTGCCACGGCAGCACGCTGCAGAGTACCGGACCAATTCCTTGCCGTCCATTTTGCCCGCACCATTTCCACTTCAGCTCCTGAGCTCCGTTCGCGCACACCCGGCAGCGGCAGTGAGCATTTTAAATGAGCCAGGCCATGAACTGGATCCCGCACTTACATGCACCCCCACACTGCCCACAACCACAGGCCTCCGCGCC